GCCAGCCGCCCGGCGCACGCCTCCTCCTCTTCGTCTCGGCCCAGCCGCCCCGACACGTGCGCCAGGTTGGCCCAGGCGTTGAGGTTGCCCGGGTCCTCGTGGGCCACCTCGAGGAAGCGCTCGCGGGCCTCGTCCAGCTCCTCCAGGTGGAAGGCGAGGGCGCCGAGGAGGTGGCGCACGGCGGGGCGCTGCGGGGCGGCCGCCAGCTCGAGCTCCTGTCGCAGGCCGTCCCGCTGCAGCTTCAGGTCCCGGGCGTGGAGCGAGGCCGGTGAGCGCGGCTCGAAGTTGAGCTGCATCTCCAGGTGGAAGTGGCCCGGCAGGTAGTCCAGCTCGTCGATGAGGGCTTCCAGGTCCTCAGCCGCGGCCTCCGGCTCCCCCATGGCAGCCCCGCTGCTCCCCGGGCCTCGTCCCTGCCCCGGAGGGGGCGGGAGGTGGGGAGGGTGCGCGGCCGGGGCGCCCCGGAGCGAGCCCCGCGCGGAGGGCGAGGAGGCAGCGCGCGCCACGGCCCGGGGTCCAGCCGCCTCCGGGTCCCGGGGCGCCTCCCTCTGCTGGGAGGGTCTGAGCGGAGGCTCGGTGGGTGTGTCGGCTTTCGCTGCTCGGCGGCTCCTAGACGCCCGCATTGCACAACCAGGTGTGCCGGAAAAACAGGTGCCTCGCCAAATGCAGGGCGCGCACACCACGGTGCGTGGCACGAGGCCTGTTTCTACTCTCTCTGCTCAGCAGATCAGGGAAGCAGGCTCAGGAGGAGAGGACTTGCCCAGGTCACAGAATGGAGCTGTGCCCAGGCAGCCTGGAACCCAGCTGGCTGAACCCCAAACCCTTTCTCCGTGGGCGCTTTCTCCCCGCTCCCTGTGTGAGCTCGCTGACCAGCAGGCGCAGGACTGGCCCTTCCAGCTGCCCGCGGAAGCTGCCCTCACTCCTGCCGCTGTCCCCATCCTCTCCAAAGTGCCTATGTTCTCCTTCCTCTGAAGGGAGCCTGCCACTTGTCTCTGCTCCTCCTTAGGCCCTGACTTATCAGGCTTCCCCACTTAGGACCCTCGGCCTCCTCTCTGCTCTGCAGCGGAGAGACTATGGGGCTCCATGTGCTAGTTCTAATCCTGGCTCTCCATCCCTAATCATCTGTGACCTTCATAATTATGAATCACTCTGTATTTTTCTCATCTGTGACATGAGGGTCACATTCTCTCCCCCAAAGGTAGGGTAGATATCCACGGTGAACCTGGTGAACATCACTCTGGATAACTATCAGCTCCCACTCTTCCCCTTGATTCCCACTGTATCCTATACCCCACCTGTAGCCCAGGTTTCTTGCTCTTGCCAGTCTTCCCCCCGGGACTGGCACTGGTTGCCCACCATCTAGAAGGCTGGGCTATGCTCCCTGCTGCAAGGCTGCTGGTCCTCCAGTGCTTGGGCTTTGGAGCAAGTCTGGGCTTCAGAGGCCCTCCACCCCTCATTCCACCTGGGCAGGGCTCCTGAGACCCTATTCCTTCATATTCTTGACAAATAGACCAATGTTTTCAAAAGGGGAAATAGAGACAATTAGTAAACTTGGGAAAAAAATGACTTGAGCAGTAAAAAGGTAAATTAAAACATCACTCTGGTGTTACCTTTCACCAGCAATTTTAAAATATAATATTTAATATTTTTTAATAAAAGATCATTGCTATCAATTGCTGGTGATCACAAGATGACACTTGGGATCCAACCTTTTTGGGGGTATCAGGGATAGATTTCCAGAGTGATTGGCTCCCCCTCCCTTTTATTGTGGCAACATGTAGTTAACTTAAAACTGACCATTTGAACCATTTTAGAGTGTACAGTCAATAGCATTAAGAATATTCCCATTGTTGGGTTGTCTGGGTGCCTCAGTTGGTTAAGTATCTGCCTTCAGCATAGGTCAAGATCCTGGAGTTCTGGGATTGAACCCTGCGTTGTGGAGCAGGGAGCCTGCTTCTCCCTCTCTCTCTGCCCCTCCTCCCTCCTTGTGCTTTCTCTCTCTCAAATACACAGATTTTTTTTTAAAAAAGAATATTCCCATTGTTGTGCAGCCATCACCACCATCCATCTCTAGAACTGTTTAATCTCCCCAAACTGAAACTCTGTACCCATTAAACAGAGTCACTGGTAGCCACCATTCCACTTTCTATCTCTCTGAATTTGAATACTTTAATTACTTCCTATAAATAGAATAATACAATTTTTGTCCTTTTGTGTCTGGCTTATTTCACTTAGCCTGGTGTCCGAAAGGTTCAGCCATGTTGTAGCCTGTGTCAGAACTTCCTTCCTTTTTTTTTTTTTTAAGATTTTATTTATTTATTTATGAGAGACACACACACAGAGAGAGAGAGAGGCAGAGACACAGGCAGAGGGAGAAGCAGGTTCCCTGCAGGGAGCCCGATGTGGGTCTCCAGGATCACACCCTGGGCCGAAGTTGGCGCTAAACCGCTGAGCCACGGGGGCTGCCCAACTTCCTTCCTTTTTAAGGGGGAGTAATATTTCATCAAATGTATGTATACACCACATTGTGTTGATCCATTCACCCATCAGTGGATGCTTGGGTTGTTTGCATCTTGGCTACAGGGAACAATACTGCTATGGACAAGGGTATACAAATATCTCTTTGAGTCCCTATTTTCAGTTCTTCTGTCTATACACCCAGAAAGTGGAATGGCTTGGTCAGATCAATTCTATGTTTGATCTGACCAGAGCAGGTGTTTTGACCAATTTTTTTGAAAAACTGTTTCCTATAAGAGCTACATCATTTTACATGCCCGCTAACAATGCACAAAGGTTCCAAAGTCTCTACATCTTTGCCAGTGCTTGTTATTTTCTGTTTTGTTTTGTGTTTTTTTTAAAGATTTTATTTATTCATGAGAGATGCACACACAAAGAGGCAGAGACATAGGCAGAGGGAGAAGCAGACTCCCTGCAGGGGAGCCTGATGCGGACCTTGATCCCAGGACCCTGGGATCATGACCTGAGCCAAAGGCAGAAGCACAACCACTGAGCCACCCAGGTGCCCTGTTTTTGTGTTTTATAATGGCCATCCTAATGGATGGATTTTGATCTAACTCTGAGAAGATGAGTAGGAATTGGATGGGAATTGTAGGTCGCAGGTGCATTTCAGTGGCAGGAAGGGCATAGGGAAAGGCCAGAGGATTGCAGTGCAGGGTATGCCTCAGAGCAGGACAGCCCCATGTGGCTGACATGTACAGAGTGTGGGCCAGACATGGAAGGGTTGAGGACTGAAGGCAGCGAGGGCAGCACCATCACGGAGGCCTGAATCCTGAGAATCTTGACTTGACTCTGCTGACATAGCAGATGGCTCCAGATTCTGGATGGTTAGACCCTCTTGCAGCCAGGGAGCTCCCAAACCTAATCATGAATCCCATATCCACTGTGTGACCCTACACCTTGCTAGATGTGACCAGGGGTAGTTACTCTCCCTCTCTGAGCCTCGGTTTCTTCTTCTGTGTAATGGGATGGGAGGGGGTTTCAAGAGAGAATGAATTGGTTGCTAGGGCTGGTGAGTTGCTATGATGGGGAGGCTTTGGGCTGACGTGAGTGGGCAGGCTGCCTTGCTGCCGAGCTGACTCACACAGGCCCGTGCCTGCTCTGGCCTGTCTGGAAGCCAGATTCCCAGCCCAACAGACCTTGGCCTATATTCTATGGTCACTCCTCCAGGAGTCCTGGAGCCAAGGGGCTCAGGCCGAGAGAGAAGCAATGCAGCCACAAGCAGCTTCTGGGCCACACTGACAACGCTCATACTGTCCCGCGGCTAGTCACAGGGCTTCCCCCATGCACAGGACTTGCTGGTGGACACAAACACTTCACTAACGTCTCCAAATACTCCTCCATGAGGCAGCGGTCAATGTCCATATTATAGATGAGGAAATTGAACTCTGGCCAGGGTAACGTGCCCAAAGCCACCAACCAGACAACAGCAGAACCAGAATTCAAACATGACTCTGAGGATTTATGCATGACCGGGAAGTTACTCTAGATTAATTCCTTTATTTGTTCCCTTGTCATTCAACAAATATTTACTGAGCATTTACTGTGTGCCAGGTATGGCACCAGGAGTGGGTGAGACACAGTCTCTGCCTCTGGACCTTTGCAAGGGCCCTTTCCAAGGGCTGGGAATGGCCTCTTATTGAGATTCCGCTATGTGCCAGGAGCATACTTAAATTAGCTCCTTTAATCCTGCTAGGAGTCTGGAGAGACAGAGATTATTACCTTCACTTTACAGGTAAGAAAGTGGAGAATCAGAAAAGGAAACGAATTGCCCAAGTCTGCACAAGTGGGAAGGGGCAGGGCCTGTGCTTAGATGACCAAGGGTGTGTGTTGTGTGTGCTCCCAGGCCTGATACCTCTGACCCTCAGCTCAGTGGTGCAGGGTGGGCACTGTGTCAGATGTGGCCGTGTGCCTGCCTGGCTTGGGGACGGAGAGTCCAGCCCACAGCTACGCTAAGCGTCTGGACTTCCTATTTAAGTGCTATAATGGGATGTTAGAGGGCACTAGGAGGACCCTGAAAGGAGACACACTGTTCTGGGAACCCAGCTCCATGGACTGGATGTAGGACCCCGGGCAAGTCCTATTTCTCTCTGGCTTCTGTCCCATCGTCATCAAATGGGGTGTGGCTCTCTGCTGTGCCTCAACCTGAGACCACTGGGAGGATCAAAGGTAATCATGGGAGATGGTATTAGATGTAGGATGACCAAGGGGCACTGGTCAGATGAAGGAGAGGAGGGAAGAGAGCTGACCATGCCCCTGGCCCCGGGCCCGCAGACCCCACAGTAGGACGGGTCTGCAGGGCTGGCGAAGGGTCCCCCACAAGGTGGCTGGCGGAGAAAAGGTGCAGGGCGCAAGCAGAACGGCAGGGGGCGCCCCGAGGGCACAGCCGCGCGCAGCTCACAGGTCACAAGGCGGGGTTGCCGGGCAGCGCCAGGGGAGCCCCCGCGCGAGGCCCCGCGAGGACCTGGCCTGGGGGCGGCCGGGCCATGGGCGTCAAGAGGTTCAGCGGGGCGCCCTTCGGGGTGCAGAGCCACAGGTGGGGGACGAGGGAGCGACGGGAGGGGCTGGCGGTGAGCGGTGGGCGGGGGCCTGCCCTTCTCTCGGGGCACACCTGCTGCACTTCTCCCCCCGCGGCTCTTCCCCCATCCTTAAGGGATCTGAGCCCTTTCCAGAGCACCTCCTATGGGCCAGACGCAGCGAGGCCAGGCAGCCCGGCCCACAGGAGGTCACCAGCGCAGCATTTCAGCCCAGGGGGGCTCCGTCCATCCACACATTTATATGATATACAGGTACCCCCTGCTCTGTGCCGGGTGCAGTCCTAGCACCTGCCGACACAGCAGTGAACAAACAGCAAAACCCTGTCCTCTGGAGTTTGCATTCTTGTGGGGAGGGGGTGGTTGGAGTAGATGATAAACCAAAAAAGAAAAATACATAAAATGTTGGATAGTAACAGGGCTATGGAGAGAAAGCCAGCTAGGAGGAGGAGCTCGCAGGGGCTTGCGAGGGGAAGGTGACTTTGAAGTGAGTAAAGGCCCCCAGTGGAGGGGATGGGACCAGGCAAGGGTGGTGTCCAGGGAGAGGGAGCCAGAAAGGTCAGAGACCCTGAGGTGGGAGCAGCCCAGTTCATGCTCCAGCGGCCAGGTCCCCTGGGAAGCCAACACCGCCACCCCCAGACCTGTCCACAGCAGGATGGGTGCTGGGCTTGGGCTCTCACCAGGCCTCTGCCCCTCTCTAGGTTTGATGTCTCCGCCGTATACCCCAACCGGAAGAAATTCAGCACTTTTACAGAGGCCCCATACTCCAGGCTTTACTCTGTGGACCTGGTAAGTTTGTGCCCTCGGCGCCTCCAAGTGCCTCACCCCAGGCAAGGGGCTGAGCGGTGTCAGGGGCGAGCCTCACGCCTCTCCAGGCCCGGAGACCTGGAGACCTCACACCTCTCGGTTGGGAGCTCAGAGCTTGGCTCAGGGCCCGGGGTCTTAGATGTAATGATAAATGCAGGTCTGTGGTGAGGACAGCATGGGTTGGGGCCACAGAGACCTGGGGTCCATTTCCTCTCCGGCACCCCCTGGCTGTGGGCCATGAACGAGGAGCTACCCTTCCCTGAAGTGTAAGGGGATCAGGGACAGAGGATGCTGGGATCATACCTTGAGCGCTATGCCCCTTGGTGTCACGTTTGGCACTAGGGGTAGGGGCTGCAGCGGGGTCCGGCCTTTCCGCCCCCAGGTTGGGAGGGCAGCTGGGTGAGGAAGATGCTCTGTGGGCAGACCGGGTAGGTGTGACCATGCTCTGACTCAGTCCCACATAGGACCTGGGACCTATGGCTACAAGGAGACCTGCTTTAGCAAGAAGAAGCTCAGAGAGGAGGTGGGCACAGGCTGGGCCCGGGCCCAGGAAGCCATCCGGCTGACCCAGCTGCCCCACTTTCAGTACCAGGCCATCATGAAGGAGAAGCAGCTGCAGGTGCGTCCCCCCAGGCCAGGCAGAGTTCCTCCTTTAGGGAATGCCATCACCCTCCAGACTCCTTCCCGGGGGGACATTCCCAGGTTTCAGGCTGTCACCTTCTGCTTTCTTCTCTTGAGGCAGAAGGAGAAGCTGGGGCCTGGCTCCTACAACCTCAAAGACTTCTTAGAACAGCTGCAGGAGAAGCCGTGCAGCACCCGGGGGCTGCTCAGCTCAGGGGAGATTCGCTTCCGAGGACTCATTGGGGTAGGTGTCCTCGTGTCCTGGGGTGGAGCCCTCCCGCCCTCCACTCCATCTGCGGAGCATGCAGCGTGGCTGGTTGGTGCTGGAAGCGCCCCTCCTCATACCATCTCCTCCCAGGCCCAGCCAAGCTCTCTTCCAGATGCCCCAAACCCCTCTGCTTTCTGCTTTCTGGTACCACAGCTTTGAGCCCTGGAGCTGTCGTATATTCTTGTGCCTGTCTCCCCCAGCAGCCCAGTTGCTCTCTGCTGGCAACCAGTTCATCTCTGAATCCCCAGAGTAGAGTCTAGTATATATTAGGTGCTCAACGAACTCATCCATCTATATATTCATCTGTCTAGCCAGCAGGTAATGACTGAACACCCACTAAGTGCCACGCACTGTCCTCGGGCTTGAGGATTGAGCAGTGATGAATCATGGATCTGGTGCCCTAGTAGAAGAAACAACAGTACAGAGAAGCAAATCATATATTATCAGGACCATGAGGAAAAAATGAGGCAGGGAAGGGATCCAGGGTGATGGAGGTGCAATTTTCAGGGCGGTCAGGGAAGACCTCTGGGAGGTGACATTTGAGCAAAGCCTGCAGGAGGTGAGCAATGGAGACTCACAGCAGCTGCAGGAGAGCATTCTAGGCAGCAGGAAGAACAGGTGTAAACCATGAGGTGAACCAGGTGGGCAGGAGGCCAACGTGGCTGGAGGGAGGGCCGAGGGCGGAAGGAGGAGAAGTGGCAGAGGAGTGAGGGCCAGATGGCAGGACCCTGCAGCAAGGTAGGGGCTTTGGGATTGATCCCAAGTTCTGTAGGAGGACAGTGGAGGGTTTTGACAGGGGCAGGACCTGATTCACATTTTCAGAGGAGCACCCTGCTCCTGGGGGTGAGGGTTGGAGGCATCTGGCTGGGAGGCGATGGTAGTGAGAGGTGGGTGGCATCTGTGTGGGTCAGGATGATCAGAACAGAGTGGGGCTCCAGCTCAGTAGGGCATAAGGGGGAAGGCAGAGTGTGCACCGTGGGTCACGGAGTGCCCTCCGCCCTGGTGGTCCGCTGGGCGCTCTTGGTCTGCTTCCAGCTCCTCACATGGACCAAGCTCTTTCAACTGGGGCTTTGCTCCTGCCATTCCCTCTGCCAGAAATGCGCTTCCTCTCCCTGCCCCCGTGCTCTCCCCAGCTGCCCCTTGGTCAGCCCTCAGCTGTCAGCTCCAAGGTCCCTTCCTCCAGGAAGCCTACCTGACCCCCACTAGGTGACAGACATCCCCCTTTCCTAGGAGTCTCAGTGATGGTTGTGTGTTTAGAGTTTCTTCCCTGCTGGACATCAGCCCCTGAGGGTGGGCGACACCTGCCTGGTTGGCTCACTGCTGGAGTCCCAGGTCCTAGCAGCACCTGGCACATAGTGGGCACACAGGTAGTGTTTGTGGATTGAGTAAGCGCACACTTGCCTACTAAGTACGAGATGTTCCAGAACATCCTAAGTGTTTGCAGCCAGTCCAGGCGAGGCCCTGGGGGCTCAGAGAGGACGGGTATCTTGCCTCAGGCTGCACAGCTGGCAAGCAGGCGATGTCCATCCCCAAAGCCAGGCCCCTCCTTCTACACCTTACTGCTGTGAAGCCTGGAAATTACTCTGCATCTTCAGGCACCGAGGCTGTAACTGCAGACAGGGAGCAGGGCTGCCCAGAGGCATTGCAAGCTGTGTCATTACCTTCAAACTGAAATAATAATAAATGACGCCACGTGCCAGGTGCTGTCCTAAGCACTTGAGAGTACTTATTAATCTAATCCTCACAACACCCCTGTGAGGTAGGCACGGTCATTATCCTGGCTTGATAGAGTAAGAGAACTGGAGTACAGAGCTTAAGTAAGTGCCCAAGGGCACAGAGCTCTGAATTCAAATCCAAGCAGGATTTGAATCCAGGGGCATCCACACATAATAGCCACGGCGCATTACACATAAGTGGGCTCACTTGGGTTTCGTTCCCTGATGGTATTTGGAGGATGGAGTCTAATGTCAGAGCCCAACCCAGACGGTGGCAGAGGAGCAAGTTTGATGCTTCCTTCTTGGGTCCCCAGCTCCCAGCCCCGGGGCGTCTGTGAATGTTGGCTGAGTAGGGCGAGGGTACCATGGCCTGGCCCTCCTCTCCCACTTCATCCCCCTATCTCTCCCGCAGTAACCTCCACCAGGCCCTGCAGGATTTCTCCAAGCCACTCTCCTGGCCTGGGGGCGGGGCAGCAAGTTCAAGGAGGTGGCACTGCCCCAGTGGGTGCAGATGGCAATCCCTGGGGAGCTCGTGTCCAAGGCCTATTTTCCGTCTTCTTGCAGTGAGACCTGGGCAGGGAGTCTGATGGCCTCTTCTGGCCTCTGGTCCTTCCAGTAGTCCCCCACCACTGCAGGTCTACAGATGCCACCTGTGCAGAGTGGGGCCTGCCCCAGTGTCCTAGCCGAGCTGTAGGTGCCTGTTTTGGTGCCCTGTGAATCTTTCCCCAGAGAGGATGGGGCTGTCAAACCACAGCCCCTGCACAGGCAATGCCTCCTCCTCTGGTTTCAGAATCTCATCTACCACTGGCACTGGGGGATGCAGCCACCCCCTCCTTATGTGCACTCTCCCCTCTCTTGGCTCTGGGGATACTAGGTCCACAGCTCTGGAGCCCCTCTGCCAGCCTCCCTCGTGGCTCTCCATCTCTAGCGCTCCCCACCCCCCTCCACCCTCTTTGCGGTGATCTCTCTTGCCTAGCCAGGCTCCATGCAGAGGGCTCCAGATCCCCACCCTAGGGGTCCCCCAGGCACCTCAAACTCTGCATGTCCCCCTCCCCCACATGTGAGCTTCTCCTCGGGGCCTGCTCTTTCCCTGGAATGGTACCATCAGCTGCCAGACTCATAAACCCAACGGCCCCTTATTCCTCATGGTCACCAGGGTCTGTGCTTTTGCCTCCTGCCCTCCTCTTGTCCTCCTCCTGTCCTCCTCTTTCCATCCCCATTGCCTCTGCCCTGGCCCAGGCCACTGCCTCATTCCCACCCAGGGGCAGCTCTCTGGACAGATTTCCTGGTCTCCTACCTCGGCCAGAGTCATCTTCCTAAAGGACCCTCATGCCTCAGAGTCAGATCTGAATACTCTCCTAAGGCCTTCGAGGTCCTTCCTGCCCTCCTTACAGCATAGTACCTCTCCCAGCTGGCCTGAAAGGTCTTGTTCCAGTCTCCTGGCCTTTGCCCCATGTAGGGGTGGTGTGGGGGGACCTGCCTCCTCCCCCACATCTGTCTTTGGAATCCTCCTTTTCCTTCAAGGTCCAACTAAAACAATCTCTGCCGATTCCTACATTCCTACACACCTTCCCCAGAATCAATCCCCCTGCCTCAGCCCCCAAAGCTCTGACAGCAGAACATTTCAGTTAAAATCATGGACTTTCCCATCAGCCCAGGGGTGTCACTCCGCCTGGAGTGAGATAAGCCCTGAGCTTTGGGCTCGGCACAGTCCTGGACTCCAGGAGGGGCGGCCGCTGTCTGTTGTAATGGTCCCTCTGAGGTCACTTCTGAGGTGTACCCAGGCTCATGGCCCTCCTGCCCCTGGGGGGTTTTTACACAGTGCCTGGGAGATAGCTCAGGAGGTGCACAGATTTCGTAGTTGGAACCCTAGCTGCTGTCCCTTTCTGGAGGGAGTCCCTTGGACTCGAGGTCTGACTCTCTGAGACTCAGTTTCCCCACCCGCTAATGGCAGATGGTGCTGATTTGATCTCATTGGGTCACCTTCTGGGACCTCCAGGTACTGAGGCTCCAAGTGAAGCCCAACACACCACACAGGGACCCATCTTCCTACCTGGAGGCTCTTCTACTGAGCACACCTGGAAACCCAGGCCCTGGAAGGAGGCAACATGTAGCCCTGTCCTCTGAGGGCAAGCATATCGGATGCCATAGTGGCCCCCCTACCCCAGCAGGGTGCCTGTCCGGTCCACCCTGCCACATCCACCCTTCCCTTGTAGGGCTGCTTCCCCAGGGCAGGTTCCCAGCAGAGAAGGGCAGGGCTGAGCCATCCATGGAGCAGCAGCGACCTCGTGGGGCTGAAAGGTGCAGCGCAGCAGCAAACATTGCTGGGTCTCTATCCAGGGACTGCCTCCCCCCCCCCCCCACAGCCATGCACCTGCGCTGCAGGGTGGCTCCCCTCCGTCCACCAACGGAGACCATACTTCTAACCCTGACAGTGGAAACCCCCAAATGCTCATTCCAACCACTATTCTCCATCTCTCCTACCTCCTTCTCCTTACCCCCAAGACGGGCATCCCATCCTGACTTAGGTGTTGGTGCCCATGTGGGCTGAGCACTGCGCAGGAGGTTTTACAGACATTCTGTAATTTTCCTCCTCATTGCCCTGGAAGAAAAGTGTTACTATCTCCATGTTACAAACATGGACCATGAGGCTGAGAAGGCCCAAGTTGTATGCCCAAGGCCATTCAGCCATAAAGCAGCAGAGCCAGGATTCAAACCCAGGACTCTGGATCCTTCCAGGTCACAGCACTGTTCATAGCACAGTGAGAACCCCCACTTATGCACATGCAGGGCTGTACAATGGGTGTGATAGGTGGCATTTTAAAAAAGATTTTATTTATTTATTCATGAGAGACACAGAGGGACACAGAGAGAGGCAGAGACAGGCAGAGGGAGAAGCAGGCTCCATGCCGGGAGCCCGATGTGGGACTCGATCCCGGGTCTCCAGGATCACACCTTGGGCTGAAGGTGGTGCTAAACCACTGAGCCACCCAGGCTGCCCCAATAGATGGCATTTCTAAGACCACCAAAGCCAGCAACTGTCTTGGGGTGATAGGGAAGGAAGGCTTCATTCCCAGGAGAGATGACATTTGAGCTGGCTTTGCAGAATTAGAATTTTATTTTTCTTTTTTAAAAGATTTATTTATTTGAAAAAGAGAGAACACACAAATGCCCTGTGCCTGCGATTGAGGGAGGGGCAGAGGCAGAGGGGAGTCAGACTCTCCACTGAGCGAGGAGCCCTACCGGGGAGGGGGGAGGCTCCATCTCCCAAGGGGGAGATCATGACCTGAGCCAAAACCAAGAGTTGGACACTCCACTAACAGAGCCAGCCAGGTGCCCCAGAATTAGAATTTCCTAAGGCAAAGAAGGCAGGTAGGGTATTTTGGGATGAGGGGCAGTTAACACACAGGGACCCTGAACAACCTGTTCCCCTCTCAGGGGTTTTTCTTCTTCAGACACACTTGGCATAAAGAGTGGGGTTGATAACCTTTATGTCCCTCCCTCCTACCCCTGTCCCCCCTCCCCCCGCAGAACTACTATCCAGGCCCTGGAAATTATGGGGTGAAGGGCAACCCATACACAAAGCTGGAAGAGAAAGCCTGGAACCATTCTCATTCTGAGGGCCTCATGTGCAGGATGACCAACAAGCCGTCCCCCCTGTCTCATCAGGTACCCCCTCACCTGGCCAGACCTTGCCCACCTTTCTGCACAGTCCTGGGGTGGGGGTGGGATGGAGGATCTGATGACTAGGGCATACAGGGAAACTGAGACCCCAGATGGCAATGGGTCTGCATCAGCGGTTCTCCTGCAGGCCTGTAATCTGTGTTCCCTTCTAGGGGAGTGGTCTGGCTCCAGGCACCTACTCTCTCAAAAGTGGCATTGAGGCATACCTGGCACAATCCATGGGCACCCGTGGGCTTTACGACACTTTCTCCGGTGACCGAAGCAAGCCCCAGCCTTACGGACATTACTCTGTGCAGGTGTGTGCCCAGGCGAGGCCTGGAGCTTGCATTCCCCAGCAGGGGGCCGGCCTGCAGCACCACCGCCACCCTGGGTGCCAAACGCCGCAGGGCCCTGCCCCTGCACTGGCTCACGTCTCCCTCACCGCCGTGGCAGCATGTGGCTCCCTGGGTTAGTTGAGGAAACGGCATGGCCTCGCCGCTGGCAGGGAGCAGAGCTGGGATGTGAACACCAGCACGTGTGGCTGGCTTCGCCTGCATGAACCGCAGAGGAGGAGCAGAGGGTCACCATGCCAGGACTGGACGCCCAGCTCGGCTGATAGCAGCAGTGCCCCGTTAAGGAGCCAGAGACCTGAAGGGCTGGGAGCATGGGGAAGCTGAGGGAGACTTTCACCTCGCGGCCCCTCTTTCCCACACCTGTCATGCTCCTGTTGTGTGGTCCGTAGCGGGCTGCGCTTTGCTTTGTTCCTGTTCATAGCGATTAGAGTTAAGTATCTGTCCCACGACCCACTCGTTTTGTCTCCACTGTGGTTCACTCTGGGGCCAGGAAATAGTCACCGGGATGACTGCCCCTGTGGCACTTAGACTCCAGTGGAAGAGGACACACAACACGGATCGTCAGCAGGTGGTGAGGAAGGGGTGGTGGTGATGAAATGTTGACATACTTCGGACTGAGGGGTGACCAGCCGCTGAAAGATGAGCCCCCCAACCTGGCTCTCCTCGCCAGGGCCTCCCAGAAGGCCCCACGACCAGCCACTGACATGGGAGCCTTGGGACCCTACCCAGGCTCCACGGCCACCGTACATCTTGATTGGCTAGTGCCCAGGCAGCCTAATAGTATTTTTTTGTATCTAAAGAGTAATAGACTTTATGGGGGGCACGGGGGGCATTTTTAGGCTCATGGCAAACTTGAGCACAAAGTACAGAGATCCTTGACACCCTCGGTGCCCCCTCCACGCACAGCCTCCCCCACTGGCAGCATCCCGCCCTGGAGTGGTGCACGTGGTACAGGCGATGAACCCATGGTGACATCACCGTCACCCCAAGTCCACAGTTCACATTAGGATTCGCTCTTGGGATGGTGTCTTCTACAGGTTGGAACAAGAGTGTCCATCATTATAGTATCATACAGAGTGATTTCACAGCCCCCAAAACCCTTAGTGTTACCCCATTGCCCTGGTTTGTAGATATTCGGACTACGGCTCCTGCTGAGAATGGTACCCACGCCATAAATGTCCTTGAAACGAGCAGAAAAATGAAGCAACGTACAAGCAGATGCCAGTTACGTTGTCCGAGGTAGCACGGAAGTGGACGTTGCTGGAGACTCTTTGGGCTCCCCCTGCCCCTGCCGGGGCTGCGTCTCTGCCCACCTGGCGTGGGGACGTTGGGAGCAGGATAGACAGTGGTGCCTCCGTGTGTGGCCACCTCGCTCCTCTCTGCTGCTCAGGGTCCAAAGGGAGGGCTCTGGTCTTCCTGGCCTAACACACACCTTTTTTTCTTTTTCTTTTTCTTTTTCTTTTTCTTTTTCTTTTTCTTTTTTTCTCTTTTTTTTCCCCCTGTTTCTCAGAAAAAAAAGCCCAGGGAACTGATGAATTTTACGAGCTTCGTGGAAGAACTTAACTCCTGTCACAATAAGAAGCGCGGGGTTTTTTCGAAAATTTCTCGCAACCCAGAAACCCCTACAGAAAGGATTTACTGGGCCACCCTCAGCCAGTGCCCCCGGAAACTGGTCAGTGTCTCCCCTCCCCCCATGACCTTCCTCCCTTCTTCCCTTGGGAGGGGACTCTCCTGCGGCCAGCGTGGGATGGGGCTGGCCATTTCAGAGGAAAGGCCCAGCCTTGGGTGTCAGACCCACGTGGTGTCCAGTCCTGGTCCTGCCTGCCTTGTTGCTCTCAGTAAGTCCCTTCCACTCTCTGAGGCTCAGTTTTATTTTGTTTTTTAAAAGATTTTATGTATTTATTCATGAGAGACACAGAGAGAGAGGCAGAGACATAGGCAGAGGGAGAAGCAGGCTCCTGGTGGGGAGTGCGATGCAGGACTCGATCCCGGGACCCGGGGATCACGCCCTGAACCCAAGGCAGATGTTCAACCACTGAACCACACAGGTGTCCCTCTGAGGCTCCATTTACTCCCTTGTCCTCTGAGTATAACCAGGTAGGTCTTAAGGGTCGGTTAGAGGTTGAGGAGTGGAGCTGGCCACGTGGAGCCTGGAATCTATGGAGTGCCCCTCTCTCCCCTCAGAGAGCCCAAGGGGTAAGGAGTCTGCCCCGACAGAAGACCATGCACCTGCTCCCTCCAAGGGAACAATGCGGTCCTCTCTGCGGATGTGGCAGCCAGGAACCTGGAAAGCCCCCACCCCCTCCGAGGCAGGGCCTGCCCCCTCTCCCAAGGGAGAACCAAAAGAGTAGGGGTCCGGAGGAATGAAAAAAGGGTGCCAACATTCCCTGAGTGCCTCCTCTGGGTCAGGCACCTTCCAGCACCCCCAAAGGAGGAGTTATCATTTGCATTTCACTAAAGGAAATGAAGGCCCAGAGATGTGAAGGGATTTGCCCAGGCTTCCCCAGCAAATGTGGCTTCTGTTTTCCATGTTGGAAAAGCCTATATGGCCCTGTCATGCGGTGTGGGCCCTTGGGAACCGGGAAAGAGGTGTCGAGCTGGTGGGTGGGGTTGGAGTGGGTGGCATGGGTTCTGAGAGCACCATGGGGCCCCTCGCTCCGCCCAGGATGGGCTCCTGGGTTGTTGGAAGGTGGCTGGGTACCCTCCACTGTTTGTGGCTGAAGGCCCAGGGCTCCCAGGTGGATGAGGTCAGTGCTGGGAGCCCTGAGCTGCCCCAGCCCCAGGCCTCTCCAGCTTTCGGCCTTCATTTCTTCCCCCTAGGCCACGTCTGGGCCTGGTTCGTGGCTCCCTCCAGAGAAGGAATGCAAGCACATCAACCAGCCACCATTCCTGCTGTCTTCCAAGCGGATGGGCATAAAGACCTACCAGATGATTCTGGGAAGCTGGGTGAGTGGGTCTGGAGTGGGAGGTACACGGTGATGGGCAGGGAACCCTCTCCTGCCTCTCCTGGCAGCCGAAAGCCCTCCTTGCCCCTGGGAACTGATGCTCTGTGTCAGCCCAGCCCAAACCACTCCTTTCTCCCCAAGGGACAAACACAGATGCCCACTATCTATCTTATTTCTCTTAGGCAAGGGTTTCCAAACTTGGAGGGCTTGTTAAAACACCGATTGTGGGGCGCCATGCTGCAGGGTCTACTCGTAGCCTGTAGTGGAGCCTGGGTGTTTGCATTTCTAACAAGTTCCCAGGTGCTGCCGCCGCCGCTGCTGCTCTAGGGACTGCACTTTGAGAATCACTACTCTAACTAAGGGACGTCCCCCCAGAGTCATCCCATTCTCTTATTTTCCTAGGGGAGTCCTCCCTCCCTTCTCTTTGTCTTGAAGTCTCTGGGACAGCTAGTGGATTTGGCCCTCCTCTCATCCCTGGTGGAGCAAGGACCCCTTCTGTCCTCTTCCCCTCCCCAGAGGCGGCCGTCCCCATGTGTGAGATGTAACCTTTAGTTCGTGTTCTTGTAAAACAGCTAAGTTCTGAGCTTGTGTGCCTGCCTTTATCATGTACACACATGGCATTGGGCATCGACCTCCTGTTTCCTATTCCTGCCCTTCAGGCTGTAAGTGAGCCTTTTATTGGGTTCTAATAATCATGCAGAAAGGTGTGCGAATCCTAAGGGAACAGCTCCACGAACTGTCACAAAATAGACTTACCATGTAACCAGCCCCCAGAGTGTTGAAGAGCACGTTGCCAGCACGCCCAGAGCCCCCACAACACATACCTCCCTCCCAGCAGGTAGCCTCACCTTGGCTTCTAGAAGCTCGGGGTAGTTTTGCCTGACTTTGAACACCTGTTTATTCTTTAGATAAAGGATCCTGGTTTCCCCGGGGAATGTCCTGCTTATAACTTACCTGCCCTCCCAGTATGTTCCCACTGCCCCCACTTGTGCCTCTCCTCCACTCCACCTGCTTACCTCCTGGAGTGATGGCTTGGCCCCACACTCTATCACTTGCCCACACCCTGTTACCCTGCCTGATTCTCAGGAGGACCAGCTGGTCAGCTCTCTGCAAACTTCCTTTTCTCACCCAAGCCTGCACCTCCTGCAGGGGAGAGGGTCTTTACTTGGGGAACCCCAAATAAGGTATTTAGATAAGCACCAGATGCTGCTACCATGGGGCTGATAACTCCCGAGTGGGAGGGCTAAGGTGAGGTCCGGATTCCAGGCTTGAGCTTGACCTGCTCCAGGGCAGGAGGCACACCACCGGGAACTTGCTCCCCTATGAGACAGGCCCTTCCCTTTTGAGAAGCAAGTTCAGCAGCAAATAGAACTGTCTGGCTCCTGACATCTCTCCCAGGCCACCCTTGGCACTGCTGCTCCACAGGTGGTGGGGTTCCTGCCCACCATTCTCCTGCCCTCGCTGGTCACTCTGGGCAGGTTGCCTCTCCTCTCTGAACCTCTCTCTTGGTGCCTCTTGTATCTATGACCCAGGTTTCTGGGTGGGATTCACTTCCTATGGCCACCCTAATGAAAGTCGCACAAACCAGGTGGCTTCAAACAGCAGCAGTCTCTCCTATCACAGTTCTGGAAGCTGGACTGTTTCCTCTGAAACCTGCTGGGAAGAATCCTTCCTGGCCTCTTTCTAGCTTGTGGTGGTGGCCGGCAGTTTTTTAAATTCCTTGGTGTGTAAATGCATCACTCCAGTCTGCTGTGTCATTGTCATCATCGTCCCAGGGCTGTCTTTCCCCCTGTGTGTCTCTTCTATGAGGACACCAGTCTGATTGGATCAAGAGCCCACCCTACTCGAGTAGGATCTTCTTTTAACTAATGACATCAGCAACTGTTTCCAAGTGAGGTTACACGCTGAGGCACAGGGGGTTAGGGCTTCCACCTGTCTCCTCGGAAGACACAGTTCAGCCCATCACAGATGCAGAAAGGAGCGGTGTGGGGAGAGGGGGGAGGCACGGGTTCCCATCTCCAGACCAGTCACCTGGCCTGCTGACGTCCTGCCGTCCTGTCCGCCTTGCAGAACCCTGTGG